ACATTCAGTACTATTCAAGATTCAGCACAAAACTATTCTTGCAGGACATACAGTTTGCCTATACAATATATTCACCTTACTCAGTTGCAATTACTATACTTTTTTTTTTTTACAGAATTACAAAATTGTTTACTCAATGCAATATACCTTTTTCTGTAGTGTTCTGGATGCTGTGTTCTTCATTTTTCTCTGTAGTGTCTAATGAATGCTCTGTAGTGTTTTCTTTATTGACTCGTGTGTGTGTGTGTGATCTGAGAGCACTGTTTGATTTCGAGTGCAAGTGAAATGGTTTTGCAGTGATTGTTTGATTTTGATGGAAGAGTCAGAGGTTTCGTGAATTCAGTTTGAGAGTATTTGGATTTGTGTTTAAGGTTTTGAGAAAATGAGTGATGGTTTCGAGAAATGTGTTTTAGCAATTCAGAAAAACTGCAAAAAAAAGTCAGGTGGATGCAACTGTCCTGATGATATAATTAAGAAAAAAGTCTCATTATGAGAATGAACTAATCAAAAAGAAAACATTATTATGTAGTTTGGCATATGATTCATATTTAAAAAAGCAGTGAAGCAGTTTTATTAAAATATTATTATTTAAAACATTTTTGTACATCAAATTAAAGTCATGTGGTGCAAACAATTTTCAAAAAAGTAATAAATAATAATAATATAAATATGTTATAAAAGAAAAGACCCATACATACCCTAATGACTGTGAAAAAATAATAATAATTTGACCATTTTATGACATGGCAAGGTTAGTTCAGTCATGTGGTGCGACTGCCCAAGAACGCAATAATATTTGTACAAATGTTTGTTCCTTGAAACATGTTCTATTTTTTTTCATAATAAGATGGTTACACTCACATCTATTCAAGGAAAATACGTTCCTCCTTTTTAACTTGGTTACACCACTACATGACAACTTCTGTTGAAAATGGCACACTTGGTACAGTTGTTTTAAACTAGATTTATGTTTTTCATTGTCCTCTCCTCATATTCTTATTTTCCATTGACCCGAGTACTTCAGTGACTGGTGACTAATGTGTAACATGCAGCCAGATGCTAAAATTAATATACAGAGTCAAGTGAGCCTTTTAAATCAGCAACCTCTGTATCACCTGATTCAGTTTATAAGTAGCCAGAATACTAGCAGAAAATGTACACCCGTTGTTACGTGTGATTTTGTTAGTAGAGCATTCAGTCTCGAATCCCTGATCACATTTTATACTTAAAGAGAAACCTCAGAGTGTCTGTAGAAGCAGCTAGAAAATAAGTCCTGAGGACAAGAATGAATGCATTTGTTTTCCCATTCATACCTAACTTCCTCTTGTCTCTGGTTTTAGTCAAGTGCCAAAACACTACAGACCCAAATTCCGACTCCCAGCTTTCCTTAAGAGAATGAGTTTTTCCAGGCACCCTGAAGAGAGGATTGTTCCCACCTGCAATGTGTGAGTCTTCATCCTACTGCAATGATCGACAGCAGTTCAAAATGGCATTTTATATGCAGTTTAAAAGATTAAAAAGATAGTTCCCCCAAAATGGAAATTCTGTCATTTACTTACCCTCAGGTTGCTCAGCTGAAACAAAATGTAACAATATATAGTAAGTAAATGATGGCTGAAATGTCATTGTTTTGAGTGAACTATCACTTTAATAACGTAAAACGAATTAGTCGGGGATCATAATACTATCATGTACACAAATATTTTAACAACTGAACATTTTTCAATTTCACTAACTTTTACCTTTGTCTCTCAACACAGACAAATGATGTCATGGCGAAGGCTTTCATTGGAAGAGATTTTGTGAAAAGTGGAACGGACACCATAAACAAAGGATTAACAATAGAAACAATAGACTTTCCGTATGTTTTGCTGCTGTCATTAAAAGTATATGCCATGTACTAATTACGCCTGGCATACTGAAAATACAGGAGCAACAGTCGGTCCTGGACAAGGTTGTTTAAACAAACCCAATCCCCAATCTCCATGTGCTTCTGCGACTGCATTTTCCATTTGAATAGCCACAAGTCTGAATCCCATCTGAGGGGAACTTCTCATTAGATATTCCACCCTTAATCTGTCCCAGCTGCTGAGGCCGGATTTGTTTCAGCTGTCCCGAGAGAGAGAGGGTCCCAGATGCGATACAAGACTTTCTAAGCAGATGGCATCTTCCCCATGAAACATCACCCCCATGTCTCAAATGGACTCTTTTAAGTTATTATAAGCTTTGTTATTTATAGAATTTATAAATGATTGTAAATTAAAATTTCTGATTGCTAAATGTTGTTGGTTTCTTTTTAAACAGCACATGTTGACATCCTGTTTTACATGGCTGTCTAGAGCAGGGCGCTTCACACTTTTGAATACCAAGGACCCCAATGACATTCCCCCTCTGATGAACCTCCGTCTCGTTTTTTAATATAAAGACACATTTGTGAGATAAATGCCATTATAAAGAAAATGTTGTTTTCAAAAAATAACAATGAAAAAGAAAGAATAAAATAAATGCAATACCATGACTTTTACTAGTCTTTGAGAAGGCAAATGAAAAATTATGATATGAAATTAAATTCAATAAACATGTTAAAAATTATTGCAATATAAATTTATGCCAAAATAAAAATCCTTTCATTTCACTTGATGAGCTCATTTAACAAGCAGTTTTAAAAAATATATATTTTTAAAGGCCATTTAATGTGCATTCAGTGACTTGATGATGATTGACATCATAGGGTAAGTGATTTAAATAAAACAACTTCCATCTTCAACTAGATAAACGGGTTGATTACATACAAAATACAAAAGTATATTCCATACTGTTGGCATATGGTGATATTCACTGGTCTGCAACAAACCAAAACCCCAAAGAATGGAATCACTCAGCCGTGTCAATGGATTATATATGCCTTTTTCATTAAACATCTGTCATCTTTTATGTAGAATTTCTGAAAGAGTTTTGACTATTTTGGTTTCTCATATTACAATTAGCAAATACAGTGTCTTTATAAACACACCTGCGTGTGCCATTTTCTGAGAAAATCTATAATGTTGCAGAGAAATAGTCATTTGCTAAACTCAAGCAATATAGAACTGCAGTAAATGATACAGAAATAAACTGGAAAAAAAGACATTTCAAAAGAATTCCATGACGTGAATTCATGGAAAGTGAAAGAATAATATGATACTGTAGGCTTATCTTTATTTTTCCTCAGAAGGCTTTACGAGCAGATAGCTTAGCCAAAACCGATTAGTAAGCTGTTATCATATCTGACAACAGATTCTTCTACTACAGAAATCTCAATGTGCTATAAAATGACTATCCTTGAGTCAATTCACCAGTCTCCGTCTGTGCTGCTGCTTTACAGGCTCCTCGTGTATATAATGTAGATCAAACAGATAACTGCTGATTTATGAGTCTCACTAACAGTTGATCAGAAGTCAAACAGAAATTTGTCTCACAGTTTCAATAAAGAGTGTCAACTAGTTTCACTTACACTTATGCAAACCTGTTTTGAGAGAAATATTGGATTAAGCTTTGACCTGTTTTGACAAGTCCTGCAAAGGTTTCACGTGTAAAATTATACAGCTTAATTTGACAGTTATAACTTAAGGCTCTATCCTGAGGTTTACTATTCTTGAGAAGACAACCTAATAAAAGCTATAGCTTCCTGAATGTTTATTATGTTTACATTACAAAGTCAAGAGAGATTACTATGAAAAAACTAGGAAAATTAAAAATGTTTGTGTATATATGTATATACATATATCATATCCCTATGTGTGTGTGTGTGTGTGTGTGTGTGTGTATCTATATACAGTATAGCAGAAGACTGGTGCAAAGTTATTTTCTCTGATGAAGCTCCCCTCCAACTGTTTGGGACATCTGGAAAATCGATTGTTCGGAGAAGAAAAGGTGAACGCTACCATGAGTCCTGTGTTGTGCCAACAGTGAAGCATCCTGACACCATCCATGTGTGGGGTTGCTTTTCAACCAAGGGAGTGGGCTCTCTTAAATTCTGCCCAGCAACACTGCCTTGAATAAATAATGGTATCAAAACGTTCTGCAAGAGCGACTTCTCCCAACGATCCATGAGCAATTTGGTGATGATCCATTTATTTTCCAGCATGATGGAGCACCATCACAAAGCAAGAGTGATAAAGAAGTGGCTCGAAGATCATTACATTGAAATTTTGGATCCGTGGCCAGGCAACTCCCCAGATCTCAATCCCATAGAGAACCTGTGGTCTGTCGTCAAAAGGCGAGTGGACAAACAGAAGCCCACAAATTGTGATGAACTAAGAAGGCAAGAATGGATTGCCATCAGTCAGGATTTGGCCCAGAAGCTGATATCCAGCATGCCAGAATGAATTGCAGAGGTTATGAAGAACAAGGGTCAACACTGTAAATATTGACTCATTATATTCTTTTGCCAAAAAAGCCTTTAAAACTTATGATATGCTTATCATTGTTTTTCAGTATACCATAGAAATGTGGAAAAATAATCTACAAATACTGAAGCAGCAAACTTTGCAAAACACTACATTTTTGTCACTGCCAAAACTTTTGGCTACGACTGTACACACACACACACACACACACATACACACACACACACATACACACACACACACATACACACACACACACATACACACACACACACATACACACACACACACATACACACACACACACATACACACACACACACATACACACACACACACATACACACACACACACATACACACACACACACATACACACACACACACATACACACACACACACATACACACACACACACATACACACACACACACATACACACACACACAGTGATAGTACGAAGGGTCACTAGCCTGTGCATTTATTTGATGAAACATACAGTAAAAACAGTAATATTGTGAAATATTATTACAATAACAATCATACAATATTACTGTTTTTACTCTATGTTTCATCAAATAAATGTTGATAAGAAACTTTTAAAAATATTAAAAAAATGTCCATTCTTATTCCAAACTTTGACCATATACAGTATATTAAGTAGAAAAGAATTAAAAATAAAATAAGAATAGTCGATATAATTTTTTTGGTAATAAGACACTTTTATTGATTTTACTGATTTGGACCAACATGCTAGATTTCTATACAGTGTGAATGGTAAAGCTAGCTCTGAATCAATCAGGCTGGCTCCACTGAGCTAAAACATATACACAGGGAATGGTTGCACCCTTAAAAGCATAACTCACGCACAGACATTCACCCAAGGCTGATGTAGCGTCGTGTCAATTACAATGACTACCGGTACAGGTACACTGATGATATGATTTCATACACGGTGCGTATCCGCACCCCATTAAATTCAAATGAGAACCTCTTTTTTTTTAGAAGACAGAAAACAAAATGTAAACCAAACCAATAAATACCCCCATCCAGCTTCCGTTACGTGACATCTTTCCGAAGCTCTGTGATGTGAGAAAGCATTGGCACAGACAAATCTAATTTTCCCTGTAAAATTTCAAACTATCCAAAAGCAGAAAGCAAAGGGTGTTACTGTGCTGGATGAGTCAGTCGATTCAGTGGAGTTTACCTTCCATTCCAACTAAATGCTGCTGGATTTAGTAGGGGAAATTTGGCATTTCAACATTTTGCTTGGATTCGGGGCGCTAATGTCATGTGTTCCTACTCACAATTCCTCGACGTCACAAATAGCTAGTCTTGACTCGTATCTGGCATTATGTGAAGCAACTTTACAAATAGTTTATCTGTACAGTGACCCTCGAGAGATTTTCACAGAGATGTACGCTACCAGTTTGAACTCTAAAGTGGTTTCAAGGACAGATGTTTGACAGCAATTATGAAACATTTACATCTTCCTTTCTTGAAAAAGTGCATTAAGGATTCACACAAAATACATTTCAAATAAATTGATATACTACACAATCTGTGTCCCCCTGGTCAGTGCACTACAATTGACTGGCCCAAAGAGCAGCTGTAGACATGAGTGGGTTCCTACACAAGGCAAACACTATAATGCTGCATAATGCTAATTCTTAAAAGTGAACTACAGTTATTTTTTGAAGGAATGTCCCATCTTTGCATTTCTAAAATTAAAGCCTGTTTGGAAGCGACAGCTGATATTTACAATAGAATTGGACTGTTTGATGAATCAGTGTGGAAACTGCTAGCGTGCAAATGAATTATTCTAATCAATTAAAAATGAATGACCAAGTTTAGATGCATGATTTGATCCTGTCACGTCCATAGTCTTCCGACTATCTGCAATACACTAAATGCCCTAATTTAGTTAAAGAATAAGAAACATTACACCAAAGAAAGAGAATCCTTTCTTGTTATCAGGTTGTTTGCACAAGCTGTTTGCTTTCATTGTGAACAGGAAATTCTAAAGAAAAAAATATGCTGTAAACATTCAATAAACCGTGTAATTAAGACATGAACTGTACATAAACAGATTTTTTTTAAATCACACATAATTTGGAAAGGTTTTAAGGGATCTGAAATGACACATTTACACAAACTCACTTGGCCTGAAACTTAAAATTTCAAGTTTTGTCACAGCAAGAAAAAGGCTAAAATAAATTGATTTCATGAAGTGCATTGAGTCAGAAAAAAACGTACGCATTCACATAATCTTGTGCACAGTAGACAGCAGGATTGAGATGATACTTTTAAAAATGGCTAACATGCATGTTTTCCGTATTTTGTGGGTTATTAGTAGTCTGAATTGCCCTCTTTCTTTTGAAATCCTGCTTTTTATGGCAAAATTATAGAATTTATTGTCTGAATCTGTTTTAGTGCTCATCCTTGTATACAAAAATACAAAACAAAGAAAAAAATCTACCTCTCTACATTTTCAAAAAGTATATATGTTGGACATAGTCTACATCTATGTTGATTTTTGCCCTTTACTTTTCGAATTTTTAAGATTTTTGGCAATTTTGTTACTAAAGTATACTATTTTACAATTGAAATCGATGTAACACTGATTCCAACCAGTTACTAAAGTCAGATGGGAAGGCCAAATATCCAATCTGAAAACACAACTGGAAGCTAACCAAGAGGAAGCAACACAACAAGCATGTGGTGTAGATGATGCTGTAAATCAGATGTGAGCTATTAACAGGAACATCCGCCCTCAGTAGTTGGAGGCTCCTGTGGTTTGTCCAATTTAATGTCAATCACTGGAGATTGCTGTTAAGGAATAAAAACTTCAATACATCAAGAATTTACATCAGACAATGAATGTGAACATAACATAAAAAATCAACTACAAGCTATTTCTTTTCTTTTTTTGTGGGAGACTGGCTATAGTTAAGACTTAGCCTATCTGTAATGCTTTATTTTAAAATAAGATTTATATTTAATATTAAATTTAATGATCATTTATCAAACGAATTATTCTTATACCTATGCACCTGCTCATTACATCTTTATATTCGGAATATAACTTGTAATGAGCAGGAACATAAGTACTGACCTCTCCCAACTGCAGCCATAAATGCTTCTGTATTGAATATTTTTGGCACCTTTATATCTACAGAAGGCTTTATACACAGCATAACATAATACAGAAAACACTGTTTTGGCATATTAGCAGATAAGAGCTGAATATTTTGACAGCACTTATTATTTTACACTTTTATTCGGTTTATTTATTGTGAGTTGACATCTGCCAGCAAAGTGAACGCGTGCCATCTAGTGGTCATCATCCGAAAAGCAAAATAACGCTTGTAGCCTTTCTTGGGAAATTTCTTTCCTTACCAACATAAAATAATTTCAAATTAATGTTAACTGGTGTTCCTGAGAGTTATGCGGGTTCAGGGGGGCTTTTATACTTGCTCAGTCATACCAGCTGCTCCCGTTACGCTGACTCTCAGAAATGTAATGTGCTCATGTTTGCATTCATGAACAAATGGCGAAGTGGTGAGTGGTCTGATGTGTGTAGTTTGGTTAATGGCGTCCGGTAAAATGATTTGTTTAATTAATTTGACTAAATCTGTCGCATTAAGCCTCATTCATATACATTTATCATATAAAACCAAATAAGAGCTTTAAACACAGTGAGGATAACGTTAGATCCTGAGCTGAGTGTTCTGTCTTTTTTCCACAAGAGAGATGTTTTGTTTTTGTCAGAGAACATAGTGTCTTTCCGACACACGGCGGTAAAGTTAGTTTGACATTCATTAGACATTTGGGTTTTTTGCCAATTAAACTCTTTGCAGCTTTTATGTTTTGAGCCCAAACTAACTCAGATAGACATAAATATATGCCCCTTTATGTTGCACAAGGCTTAATTTCTAGGAATAAAAAAAAAAAAATAATAATTAACCATTTAAATGAATTACACAATTTAACTACGTGACGTTATAATATAAAACCAATACTATAATGTTCGGGAAAACATACCTGTTATCGCACAAAGCTCCGTTTTTGGAATTACAATTTTATGTTTTTTATACTAATTTTACAACTTTTATGTATGCAATAATATAAATCCATTAAACGACAACACCATTTGATCTAAAGGTATCAAACAAACTGTCAAATATTCAGAATAGTATTCCCTATAATACACAAGTCTTGCTTTTCCAGATTATGCTTTTACTGTTTTTATATACAGTACTGAATCCATATTTGTCATGTTTTATATACTGTACCCACTTAAATTAATTCAACTCTGACACAGTTTGAGATAAATGTATCAAATCAACTAAAAATATCTAAATATTATTCAATTTAATGCACAAGGCTTGTTTTTTTCAGATGATGCCTTTACTGTTTTTATATACAGTACTGAATCCATATTTGTCATGTTTTATATACTGTACCCACTTAAATTAATTAAACTCTGACACAGTTTGAGATAAAGGTATCAAACCAACTGTAAAATATTCAAAATATTATTCCCTATAATGCACAAGGCTTGTTTTATTTCTGATTATGCCGTTACTGTTTTTATATACAGTACTGAATCCATATTTGTCATGTTTTATATACTGTACCCACTTAAATTAATTAAACTCTGACACAGTTTGAGATAAAGGTATCAAAACAACTATAAAAATAAGCAAAGCCGGTTGCAAATTCCAGTTCACAGGAACTTTAAAGTATTAATATGTACCTTTAGGGTACTAATATGCACAAGTTAATGTGAAAACAAAAAAAACCTTGTTGTACCTTTTTTTCCCTGAGATTATACATTTTTATTCAGCCATTTCACAAAGAAAATAACATTGATTGCCATTAAAGTGAAAGTGCTTTACCTAAACATGGGAGCGTGATACAAATGCTCATTTTAGAAGAACATTTCAGATGGAACGTAAGGGCTTTTGCATCTCTACTTTTCATATGCTTTCAATATACACAAATACTAATGGCATAATTTGAAAAATTAGCCCTGTGCATTATAGGGAATAATATTTTGAATATTTTACAGTTGATTTGATAACTTTATCTGTAACGGTGTCAGACTTTAATTTAAGTGGGTACAGTATATAAAACATATGAAAAATATGTATTCAGGACTGTATATAAAAACAGTAAAGGCATAATCTGAAAAAACAAGCCTTGTGCATTATAGGGAATAATATTATGACTATTTTACAGTTGATTTGATAGCTTTATCTCAAACGGTGTGAGAGTTTAATTAATCTAAGTGGGTACAGTATGTAAAACATGACAAATATGGATTCAGTACTGTATATAAAAACAATAAAGGCATAATCTGAAAAACCAAGCCTTGTGCATTATAGGGAATAATATTTTGAATATTTTACAGTTGGTTTGATACCTTTATCTCAAACTGTGTCAGAGTTTAATTAATTTAAGTGGATACAGTATATAAAGCATATGAAAAATATGGTTTCAGTGCTATGTATAAAAACAGTAAAGGCATAATCTGAGAAACCAAGCTTTGTGCATTGTAGGGAATAATATTCTGAATATTTTACAGTTGGTTTGATACCTTTTTATCTCAAACTGTGTCAGAGTTTAATTCATTTAAGTGGGTACAGTATATAAAGCATGACAAATATGGTTTCAGTACTATATATAAAAACAATAAAGGCATAATCAGGAAAACCAAGACTTGTGCATTATAGGGAATATTATTCTGAATATTTTACAGTTGGTTTCATACCTTTAGATCAAATGGTATTGTCGTTTAATGGATTTATATTATTGCATACATTAAAAGTTGTAAAATTTTTATTAAAAAAAAACATAAAATTGTAAAAAACTGAGAAAAAAACGGAGCTTTGTGCGATAACAGGTATGTTTTCCCAAACATTTTAGTATTGGTTTTATATTATAACGTCACGTAGTTAAATTGTTTAATTAATTTAAATGGTTAATTATTATTTTTTTAATTCCTAGAAATTAAGCCTTGTGCAACATAAAGGGCATATATTTATGTCTATCTGAGTTAGTTTGGGCTCAAAACATAAAAGCTGCAAAGAGTTTAATTGGCAAAAAACCCGAATGTCTAATGAATGTCAAACGTCAAACTAACTTTACCGCCGTTTCCGACACAATGTGTTTAACGTGCGTTAAAGGCTCGCCGTTTACTCTGGGTTCTACTGTGTATCATTTCCCAAAGTTCAATTAAGGTATACTGTATGAATATTAATTGGGTTACACAGACATTGCTCTGTAACCTCCTGAGAGCAAGTAACATAATGCATATTCATTAGTCATGACTTTATCCATAGTAGGTTTCTATATTTATTGAATTAATTTGCAAACACCCCAAAATGTTTCAGCCAATACGATCAAAACGTCACATAACTTTATTAATATTAACGATAAAAGACTTCATACTTGTATTGTGTAACACATAATACAGTTCCCCCCCAAAATGAAAATTCTGTTAGTAATTGCTCACCCTCATGTCATTCCAATCCCATAATAATTAATTAATCTTCGAAACACAAATAAAACATTTTCAATGAAACCTTTGAGATTTCTACCTCTGGGTTGCAATCCACGCAAGCAAAACTTTGCCACCTCAAAAAAGCTTAACCTGTGTGTATCTGCTTGACGTACGAGACCCAAGTACACTGAACTAACCCTTTAGTTTGCTTTAAAAATGTTCAACTTCAATTGTGAAGTTTGTAACTCAAAGGCAGAAGTGCTCCTAAACAATGAGTAGCCTTACCTGACTAAACTGAATGCAGGAAAATGTGTTAATTAACTATTATGCCCCTTTTTACAAGATATAAGTCTCGGGTTTCCCCAGAGAAGTTTCAGCTCAAAATACCCCACAGATCATTTATTATATCATTTTGAAAATCCCCATTTTGAGTGGAAGCAAAAACACTCTGTATCTTTAAATGCAAATGAGCTGCTGCTTCCCGCCCCCTTTTCCAGAATAGGGCTGTGCTTTTACAGCTGGTACCTCAGATACTCTGCCAAAAACATGTTTGGTTTTGATTATCATGTCTATCATGCTGAAATCATGCATTTTAAAGCCATATTAGTTTATAATTCTGATAGGCCTATACGGTTTTCAGAGCACACACATCTGAAGCAAGCACACAGAAAGCGGCTGTCACACAGCATGCGAGTACTAAACTAAACTAAAGTTGGATTTCATGTCTTACTGTGCTTAAACTGTCAAATACACACATAAGTTACAAAAACACAGTCGGTTATGTCTGTGAAGTTAAACAGCTGGGAAAGAAATTGCATGTTTATATTAGATCTGTGTATTAAGTAGGGCTGTCATCATTAACGAATGCGATTCATTTAACAATCCTTAACGCGCTAAAATAATTTTACGCAATTAACGCAAAATTACTGAAGCACAATTTCTATTCTGACCCTTTAACCCAATTTTGCTTCTATGCTTGCGATTAGATCATTTTAAGCTGCTAAACTCTGGGAAAGATTTCAGTCCAATGATCCAGTAAGCGAATGCATTCAAACAATCCGTCCAAAACAGCGTTAATATAAAGGAAACCAGGCTGATTAGATTACATCAGAGATTGCAAAGAGAACAGAGACTTGCGTTGCGTTTTAAGTGAATTATTCATTCCAGTGTGTTTCACTTTAAAACATGAGCTCTGTCATTCTTTGATTGTCTCTGAAGAGCGCGAGCCCTCACATGTCGCGTTGTGTGAAGTACAGGCTGAACGGGTTGTCAACACATCCCACCGCTGTATGGCCAGATGAGACGCAAACT